TCTCTTTCTCAATGAGATGTGGCTAATATACAAAATCCATCATTAATCTCAGTACAACTAGCATAATTTGTCTTTCCTCCTTTTCGTATTATTTGTTTCTATTTTCCAAGCTATTTTTAATGGGCCCTACAATTGGACATTGACATCAAGTTGATGTGGCCCACACAAGGTTGTTGAGTCATTTTCAATGCTGGGGCTTGTACTGGACTTGTCTCCCTGTTTCCTAGGTGGGCCTATAACTGAGTCCATTTATCCTTCAGAAAGTTGATATCTGACTACAGGGTACACCCACAACGGATAGGACCGGTCGAGTCTTGTGATGAAATAATTTGAGTTTTTTTGTATATATTTTGTAAAAGTATTAAAAAATTGTCTGGAAATTATAAACAAGAAATATCAATATAACTCGTTATTTTTATAAGGAGATTAATCTACTATAACAAAGGTTCTGCATAAAAAGTGAGGTCATTTTACACAGTCGTAACCTAAAAGTTCAGCGGCCAAACATGTCCTTAATCATTTTTATACAAACTTTTATACTGGAACTTAATGTTTTTGGAGGGAAAAATTGCAGTTGAGGTACCAAACCTTTCGTTTTTAACAGACTTTGCCCAAACCTTTCATTTGTGCCACCGGAGGTGCCAAACCTTCAAAAAATCTGCACCCGGAGTCCAAATTGATAGGAACCATTAGTTTGATTGTTATTGACCAAAAATTAAAGGTCTGACCAATTGTTGACTGATTTTTAAATGGGCAAATGTGTAACTTTACATTTTCATATAAAAAAACAGTCATTTTCTCCACCCAACCAAAACTAAAAGTTATCTTCTCTATTCACCCAAAACCAAAAACCAGGTATCTGCCAATAAAATCAAAAATTGGAATCTCACTGACTTCTTCACCCTCGTCGGAAGCTTGACTGAAATCTCAAAAGCTAATTTCAAACCTTGCAACTCATTTTCCTCACTCTCCAAAAATCAGTAAAATCTGGAAGAGAGAAAACAAAAACCCTTCTTTGCCCATCGACAAGAACCCATCGAATACCAGTGCATTTTTGTGGACTGGCTTTTGGGAGAAAGAAGATAAAAACTCATCAAATGCCCATTTCATTTACAGGTCCCCCCCCCTTCCCCTTTTGGTCTCTTCCCTTGAAATCCTCAATTCCATTTCTTCTTAAACAACCCCTCAAATCCTACAAATATCCCCATTATATCCTCTCCTTCTCCTCCCATTTCTCCTCTCACTGGCCATTCTCCCAATTTACATCGGAGCTAGTCATTTTGGAAGTGCAAACTGGTTTTGTTTATTTACCGAACTAGTTTTTGGTTTTCGTGGGGGTGGGGAGTGGGGATGTGCAGAGGGGGAGGGGTGAGTGGAGATGATGATTGGATTTTTTTTATTTTTTGGTTTTAAATACAATTCTTTTAAACAAATTTTTTATATGAAAATATAAAGTTACACATTTGTCCCTCTAAAAATCACTCAACAATTTGTCAGACCTTTAATTTTTTGTCAATAACGGTCAAACTAATGATTTCTGTTAATTTGAACTCCGGATGCGAATTTTTTGAAGGTTTGGTACCTCCGATGGTACAAACGAAATATTTGGGCAAAGTCTGCTAATAAACGAAAGGTTTGGTACCTCAGCTACAAATTACCCTTTTTGGAGTGAGTAAAAAGTTAGAACATCCTTCAGCCACAAGTCTTGAAAAGAATAATCCGAAAGTGGGCCCAGAAAGCCCAGAATTTTATGGGTCTAATGGGCCCATGTTCACGTGAAGGGCCAGACGATGTACAAGATCCACACTATAGAGCGCTTTCCAATCATTTTCATGACTTTTATGTTCAATTTGAAACATAAATTAATAAATTTGTTGCCCAAAATTTAAGTTCAAAAAATTGTTAGTTTAAAAAATATATATATATAAAAAAAAAATTGTCCGAGCTCTTATAGATTTAATAATGTAGTAATTGGGTCATAATTTATTAATTGTGCAATGCTAATTATGTTGATTAAACAAGTTTCGAATATGATTTAATAATTTTGAGTTTCAATTTATACGAGAAACTTCTTATGTTTGTTTGATGCAAGATGGATATATCTGACACGGGATAAAAAACAAATATCTCGTGTAATTTTATTTTTTATTAAAAAACTCTTAATATCGAATTTAGTACACTGTACATCAAATTAAATAATATTGAGTATGCTCAATGAAGAGAAATTAAAATGCTCGAAACAATATGACTTGTTATGGGAGACCATAGAAGAAAAAATCTTGATATGTTATCCAAGGAATGGGTCCATTTATAAATGGGCAAAATTGATGTCTCCCCTTAAATAAATTTAGGGCTTTTTGTTCAATGTGGAAATTATTAAGTCCCTGTTTGGTAGGAATTAAAATTAAAATTCTAATTGATAAGAATTGATAAAATGTGTGGTTGAAAAATTATGAATCCGTGATTAGAATTAACAATTGAATTTGACTTACATTAAAATTTGAATTTTATCCTATGAAGCAGGGGCTAGATGTGGAACCTACCTCATAATATAAATACAATTGCAATGTTTTAAGAATATTAAAGAAATCAAATATCATGCCACTCCATCTATTTTGTACATTAAAAATATGTCCTTTAGACTTTTATACAAATCTTCAAGTTAGTCCTTTTAATTTTTTTTTTCCTAAAGTGAATGTCGTTTTTATCAAATTTAACGGTCACATCGAATCAAATTTAACGGTCATAGGACAAAAACATTACGACATTTAAGTACAAAAAGAAGCATAACACTATGACTAAGTCAGTGAATTATGATAATTATTTTCCAAAAAGCCCAGTGAATTATACCGATAATATATAAATTATTTGCTACATAATATTTAATATTTATATTTCTGCAAATACATATAAATCAGAATTGTAAGTGGAAAGAAAATGACGGGTCGTTATTTACGATTCAAATTCAAAGCCGGGTTGGGTCGACATAGGACAAAAACGTTACGAGATTCAAGTACAAAAAGATGCACAACACTATGACTAAGTCAGTGAATTATGATAATTATTTTCCAAAAAGCCCAGTGAATTATACGGATAATAAATAAATTATTTGCTACATAATATTTAATATTTATATTTCCGCAAATACATATAAATCAGAATTGTAAGTGGAAATAAAATGACAGGTCGTTATTTACGGTTCAAATTCAAAGCCGGGTTGGGTCATGCCAGGTCCCCACCACAGCTATCAATGCCTCAATTCTTTTTTTTTTTTTTTTTTTTTTTTAACGAGGTGTCCCAGCTTACGCCAGACTATATCCTCGTCCCTGAACTTCCGGCCCCTCAGCAGCTCAGGGAGGTAAATCGCGGGATGTGCCCAAGTTGACCAGGGTTCGAACAGCTTTTATACTCCTGGCCCCAAGGGAGCCTCCTCCATGGTTATTACATCACCAAGCTGCTCCAACCCTTCCTCTGGTTATTACAACACTCAGCTGCTCCAACCAGGAATCGAACTCCCCACGCTAGGGTTGCGAGCCCCGCACTGTCCTTCCTTTGCCAATTTGGATGTGCCCCGGGGGACTATCAATGCCTCAATTCTACGTCTAGGCGCGCTTGGCTAAGCTTTAACGCAAGTGAAGTACTATTTTTTTTTATTTAATTTTTTTTTCATAGTTATAAGTGCTATCAAAAATGTAAAAATCTTACCCACCAAGAAGTTGAGGTTGATCTTGTTGATCTTTTCATATACATGTCATGTTGATCTTTTCGACTCACATGAACGAGATGTAGAATTTCGACTAAAAAATAGTTATTCATCGATAAACACTTCATTGAGAGGAGATTAGTAACCAAGTCTATATTTGACCACAATTTTTTTTTTTTTAAGAACTCATTTTTTTTTTTAAAAAAAAAATTATTCTAAACCATACATTCTCTTATAAAATAATTTTACATGTAAATTCAAATTATTTTATTACTTTTTAACTATACATTATTCGACAAAGTACTATTTTAGAATGTATTTTTATTTTTAAATAAAAATGGAATTCAAACAAGGGCTAAATAGGAAAGTGCATGTCATAAGTTAGACAATTGGAAGCAACTTAAAATAAGCAAATAAGATTATGTTCAAGAGACTCATTAAATATGAAATATTTTTCATTTTATGGAGTCAATTCTTAAAATCATGTTTCAAGATACTCTTTAAATTAGAACCATGCTACACGCACAGAGAGGTTTCACAAACATTTTTTTTTTTTTTTTTTTTTTATAGTTGGACACAAGACAAAATTTCACTCATTTTACTCAAAACAAATGAAAAAGGTGCCACTTAGCGCCTGTATGGTGCCCGTGAACAATTCCGTGGTTAGATTAACATTTTAATTTAGTGAATATGTTTGGTTATCCAAACTTTCTATTATTAAATGTATTTAAAGTGTTTCAATTTTTAATGTAGGAAAATAATTAAATAATTTAGAAAAAAATTAATTAAAATAAAAGATAAAAAAATAATAAATATTTTTGAAAATAGTAAAATGAACCAAGAACTTGTTGAAATACTTTTAATCAGGAGCGATGTCCTAAGCACCGATGACATGAATAATTTACCAATTAAGGCCCTGCCTGGTATTATTATTATTTTTCCAGATTTTAAGCATAAATATTACCGTTGCAGTTTCTTAAGCCGCAATTGTTGACTCTCCTGTCTCACAGTCGGGGCCCACTAACGATAATAATTTGGATAGAAATCTAGGGAGAATCTATTCCAGACAAAGCCTAAATGATGTGTTATGTTATTGATACTTAACATAAATCGATGTTTAAAAGATCATTTCTGTACTTTTAACTATCTAAATTTATAGATGCTTTCAAGTAATAGAATATGCTCTTGAAAATGCAGTCTCTATCCTGAAGAGACAGAAGGGGACCAAACGTGTCATATCTTTTTGGTTCTGTTCGGTTCTCTCTCATGAACTGAGAAGGCAAATTAACTGAGAGAGAGACCGCCATTGCAATTGAACTATTGAAGCATTCGCATAGTTCACAGTACTCCGTTCAGAGAAGAAAAGCTTAATCTGTTTCCATATGTCTTGTCTCTGCCACTTCTCTTTTAGTTTATTTCAACTATTTGGCTGATTTATTAAGCTAAAACTGTCTGAAAATGATCGTTGTTAAACTTTGATGGCATTTTCTTCTGTTGAGCGATTCTTTTGTAAGTAATTTGAAGTGAATTCTCCAAATTTTATCCAATTTATCTTCGGAAAATTGCTGACAAATAGCGAGCACTGAATTCAACTTCTTCAGTTTCAGTTGATTGCGATGCATTAAATGTTTCATTTTGGTTAATTTCAAGTGCAATTTCTCTGGGAACTTAATTTTAGGCCACTCAAGAATTGTATCACATTCTGGGTTTTTTTTATTCCTGTCTCGTTTTCGTGAATTACTCGATTTTTGAAAATGGGGTCAAATATTGAATGCAGTCGAGTGCAATTTAGATCCGGAAACGGCGGGTCTGAACCGAGTGAAATGGGGTTCGGTCTCGAGGAATTCCCCGGCCAAGTCTCCGTAACGCAGCAGCCGCCCGGCAGCTCCTTCACGGCCCTCCTCGAACTTCCGGCGCCACAAGCTGTTGAGCTTCTAGTCAACTCCCCCGACGCCGCCGTGAATGAAGAATCCCAGCCGAAACCTTGTATCACTGGCTCCGGAGAGGGTCCCTCTTACTTTCATCCGCCACCACCGATTTTCCCTTCTGACATTGGCTTAATTGTCAGAGCTTCAAAATTCTCCGCGTTTGCTTCAGCTGAAAATTCAAATAACTCAATCTTGTTCAATTCCAACTCGAACAAGCTTGATATGGTGAAGCAAGAGCCATCGGACTCGGATTCAAACCCCAATTCTTCTTCGCTGGCGACTTCAGATCAGAACCCGAATTCCAACAAGAGGAAGGAGAGGGAGAAAAAAGTAATTCTGGAACCCATTCCAATAAATCTGATTGTTTTAAATCTTATTTTTGAAATCTTTTTGAAAACACTCAATAAGAATTTGTCAATCTATATCCCCTTTATGTAGATGAAAATTTAGAGCATCCATTTGCCAAAATGTTGCATAATTCAGATACCTTTTCCTCTTTTAATATATTTAGAAGAATTTGTAGCTATTTTTCTTCTCGCTTTCTAATTTTGTTTTTAAATTCAGGTTAAAGAATCCCATAGAAAGAGCAAAAAAGTTATACCAAATAAGGCCTCTGAAGATAGTGGCGAGAAGCTGCCATTTGTGCATGTCAGAGCTCGCCGGGGCCAAGCCACCGATAGCCACAGCTTAGCTGAAAGAGTAAGAATCTTTATCTCATATTGTATATCAAATCCTTTTCTTCATCTTGATTATTAGCAATAAACTACTATTAGTTTTTAATCAAAGTTTGGCTCTTTTTGAGTAGGCAAGGAGAGAGAAGATTAATGCAAGAATGAAACTTTTACAGGAACTGGTCCCAGGATGTAATAAGGTTAGCTATCTTTTTCCATACTATAGTTGATATCATTATCATATACATATTTCGGTAAGGGTGATTTGGGGTATTAAAACTCCGTTATATGTGGTTTCAATGATGATGATGATAATGAAATGTTGTTATTAGATTTTGGATTACGTGAGGGGAAATCTTTCTGTCCTGGTTATACCTTTTTTATGATAGATTAAGCTTTTGTTTTGCTTTTTTACTTTTATAATAGACTAAGCTTTTGCTTTTGAATTATTAACAGTAGTTGGGTCATTTTCACCTTTTTAATGTGGAAAACGATAGAAAGGCTGATGGCTTTGGCACTTAGGAAAGTGGAGCCGGTGTCGAAGGGTCTCTTATCATTAGTCTCACTATTGGTTTTACCATTTTGCCTTTGCTCTTAGTTCATCATGACAAGGACATTTTTTTCATTGGTTAAATGCTGATATTTCCTCCTTTTCTTTTAGCTTATGGAAAAAAAAAGGAGAAATGCCGTGGTTTTATTTAGGCCCGTTTGGGAGGGATTTTAAAAATTGATTTTTTGACCATTAGAAGAAAAGTGGGGTTCATCTGTGAGAAAAAAAGTCAAAAATTACTGCTGGAATAGTTAAATAACGGTCAAAAAATCAAATTTTTGGAGTAAAAAATCCTTCCCAAGCAGACTGTTAGTATACTTGTACCAAAAAAGGACAAGATTTGACTCTTTTCTAATTTTTATATATACATTAGCTGGTTAATGCTTAAGATCTGAAAATCAGTGCTAATAGGTAGGGTCAAGGGGTGTAGTTAAGACGTAGGTTCAATGTAGTTCTACATTTCAAATAGGTGTAGAATAGGTAAAATAATTAAGATAAGAAATAATGGAGAAAATTGTGTCCCTGTTATTTAGGTTAAACATTAAAAAGGCAGTTATTGCGATTGACTAAAGTGTATGATGCGGTAATTAATGAAAGTAAGGAGAAGATGAAATTGGTTGCATATTGAAGCTTTTTGGAAAACATGCAGTTAGCTAGTTTGATGCCTATGGGTCCTCCCTTTATTTCTTCATGCTCTAAATATTTTATTTTAGCTCCTTTTTTTTGCGTATATTAAATTTCCACCAAAATTTTATCACATATTATACTTTACTTGATCTCATGTCTGTAAATATGCAACCGGAGCTCAATTTTCTTCATTTCTTGCTTTGTCTTGTAATAGGATGAAAGAGGAAAAAAAAATTTCCTGAGTTGTACCGAGATGAACTCAATTTTCTGGACCCCAGTCGCTGCCTTGTGACATTTATGGAAATATGCTTGATAATAACGTTCTCAAACCCCGAACGAAAGAGTAAAAAATGTAAAAGAACTTTTTAGGTAGGTTTGGTTTAAACCAATATGATGCTGGTTTTTCTAGGTTATGCATCAATTGAACATACAGAACACTACACGGTTAGATATACAAGGTCCTGACTCCAGTTTACTAATTTAAGAAGGACAAAATTATCAGAATCATTTCTATGTTATTGTTGTCTCTTGTGATGTATCTTGAACTTTTTATTCTGTACATTATGTGTTTTATGGAATAAAGCTTCTTCTTTGCCCTACCGGAAGAATTATTGCATGATCTTTTTTTTCTTTTTTTTTTTTAATATTTAACCAATTATATATTAGTGCCAGACCAACACTGGTAATGTATAATTTTCTTATAATATATTTTTCAATATGAATTATTTCAAAGGGAGCTATGTCACAGCGTTGGTTTTCCTTCTGCATTTTTTTTTCTGTCATTTAAAAGTTTTTTCTGACTTAAGCAATGAATTATTGTTATTTTCTTTGACAGATCTCGGGTACCGCAGTGGTGCTGGATGAGATAATAAACCACGTGCAAGCACTTCAACGTCAAGTGGAGGTTAGACTGGACTTGTCTTTGCCCAATACTAAACATATATAGGTTTATAATTGAAATGGACTCCTGTCATGATTTAAGACTGAGACTTCTTAAAATGACAAGGCTTGATGATTTATCCAATCTTAAAAATACTGCTTCAAAGAAAAATATTGCTATCTGGTGTTCTTAGATTACTCAATTGTGAAAGATGATATATAAAACTGCGAGCACATATTCCTTTTTCTTTCATTGCATTTGTTAGCATATTTTCATATATTCATATCTTCTTGACTTTCAGTTTTTGTCTATGAGACTTGCTGCTGCTAACCCAAGAATTGATTACAACCTCGATGCCCTTTTGGCTGCTGAAGTAAGTACTATTTATCTACCAACGCTGTTCTGTATGTTCGTGAAACAATGCTAATTATGTGATCTTTGTGATATCTGCTATATTTATTTCCCCAAAGAAAAGAGAATTAACTACGGCATCCCATGTGTCATTTGTGCTTTGGCAATTTGTCAAACAAACATAATTATATTCGCACAACCTTACTTGGTGCAAATTGGCACCATGAATTTGTCAACAATTTCAAGAATTTTTTTTCTCTTTTAAAATTTGTCTTTTTTGGGTCTTTATATTGGATGAGAGTATGGTGGAAAGTGGAGTGGAAAATCAATTATTATGAGAACTCTTAATCCTTCTCTTTGAATGCTTCTGCACCAAACTTTTCAAAAGAAGCTCCTTATTTGGTATCCAAATTTACTGGTCAAGGTTATGACAGTTAAAAAATTTGGAATGCTATTGAACTTGCGCATATGCTGGTCCCCTGCCAAGAATTCAGCATATCCCCGTCGACTAGAGTTGCTACTAAATATATGTACAATGCCTATTAATTTGTTTTCCTTCCCATAGTCAAAAAATTATTTATAAGCTTCGAAAACTTTGTCTTGTAGAGTGGATCCCTGGTCGATGGCAGCATTGCTGGCATGTCTACATCATCATTGTGGCCAGATGCACAACCTAATGGGAACAGACAGCAATATAATCAGATGTGGCATTTTGATGGGCTTCATCAGCCAGTCTTGGGTAGAGAAGAAGACAATCGTAACTTCATTACTCCAGAAAACTCGCTTATAATTTATGATTCTTCTGCAAATTCAGGTAAATTACAATTCAACAGTTCTCTTTGTTTTTTCCTACCAATTAGTTGGTATTGGCTATTTTTCTTCTAGTCATTAAATTCAAGAGAGTTCTGAAGATAGTCTGCAATAAATTTCATGCATAAAATTCTATAGTTTCTATTCTTGCGTTTGAAGTAGGGAGAAAAAAAAAAAAAGTGTGCTGTGGCTTGTGCCATCTTCCAGAGAGAGATAAAAACACTGTTAGTTACCTAATTTATAGAGTTGTTTCACTTTGGTCACCAAACTTACTCATCCCAAGTTAGTCAATGAACTTTCACTTTCGTTCTAGTTTAGTCACTTTGTCTACCCTGTAAGCCGAATTAACATAAAATGTTAACTTGGTTTCCAGAAATTACGACTCTCTCATGAAAAATCCGGTATAGTATTGTTTTTATCATCCAACTGGACAAAATTCATTAAGATTTTTCGTTTCTTTTTTATTTCTTTAAAAAACCACATTTCAGAAGTACAACTAGTCTAACAACATGCATTTTTTTTATAGAGCTTAAAAATAATACTACACATCAGCATTGCCATTAATTAGTTCAACAAAATGCCTGAACCGGAAAAAAATTCAAAGTTCAAACCAAAAAAACTTAAAGAGCGAGCTGAGAACAATGCCATTAGTAGGGTGACTAAAAAATATTGTAGGTTGAGCAATTAACCCAATTTGGAAGGTACAAAATAACTTCTTGATGCAATTAATTTACATTGTCACATTGGTTGCCACAGCTTCTCTGCATTCAAGCCAGCTGAAAATGGTGTAAATGGAGGCACGAGCTTTACGAATAGGTACCTAACTTCTGTATATATTATTTAGTATATAATGTGGAAGTATAAAGGGGATCTCAAAGTTTAGCTTGGATTTCCTTGTATTCTAATTCAACAATCAGCTGGAATCTGTTTCTGGATAAGCTAGAGAGTAGAAAATTTAGTTTCTTATGAATATGTTAATTCTGGTCTGCCAATCTGGCTGCGCCATGCATGAGATTATTGATTGATTTGTGTATAACTAAGAAAATGTATGTTTCACTATATTATGGAGGTCGATCAGCTTCTCTGCATTCAAGCCAGCTGAAAATGGTGTAAATGGAGGCACGAGCTTTACGAATAGGTACCTAACTTCTGTATATATTATTTAGTATATAATGTGGAAGTATAAAGGGGATCTCAAAGTTTAGCTTGGATTTCCTTGTATTCTAATTCAACAATCAGCTGGAATCTGTTTCTGGATAAGCTAGAGAGTAGAAAATTTAGTTTCTTATGAATATGTTAATTCTGGTCTGCCAATCTGGCTGCGCCATGCATGAGATTATTGATTGATTTGTGTATAACTAAGAAAATGTATGTTTCACTATATTATGGAGGTCGATTTTAATTTTAATTTTTACGATTCTCTTGCTTTCTTGATACTGCTTGCTGTTACATTTTAAACTTAACAGATATCGGAGAATAGTTTCTCAATGGGAATAGATACTTTGTCGCCCCCATTAAATCCTCAATGAATATTTGGTATGTCGAAATGAACAAAATTTTGACTTATTGTTCTTTATAAGTAAGTTATTGCATGATTGTTACTCAAAGCTATAAACTTTCTCCAAGTTTGTATTTTTGACCAAGACTTCTCTCAAGTTTTAGTTTGCCACTTAGACTTTCAATCTCAAATTTTATCAGACTAAATTTCCCACACTTTGGTCCCCTGAATTCGTCATATGAAATTAATAGGTAAAAATATGGATTATTTATTTAATTTTTTTTTTAAACAGAGTATATTGAAAACTTATTACCGTTTAGAATACGCAAATTCGATTGAATTAAAAATTACAGTGTATTTCTAGCAATTCAGTCTTGAGTCAATATTTATGGGAGATAATATTGTTGAAAATAAAAATGGAAACCAGGAAAAGAAATGGGACCTACTGGGAGATTTGTGTGTATCTAAAAGTTAAAGAAAGAAAATGATGGATTATTTATGTCTTTTTATTTTAATCACATTCTCCATCAAATCACTATTTTAAAATGTATTTTTGGAGAATAATAGGGGCTCAAATAGGCTATAAATAAATGGGAAAATGCAGTCAAGGTATCAAATATTTCGTTTATTAGCTGACTTTGTTCAAACTTTTTATTTGTGCCACTATAGAAACTTTTACGAAATTTGCAGTTCAAATCCAGATTTACAGTTTCAATTAGTTTGACCTCAAAAATTGCAATTGACCTACAAAATTATAAATCTGATACTTTTGATCAAGCAAGATTAAAATTGTAATTTTATAATTTTAATATAAAAAATTGTTTAAAAAGGAAAATAAAAAGCCCCATCTCCTTCATCAATCTTCTCCAATTCCCTTACCCCCCAAAATCAAAACTAGCTCCAAAAGACCCCATCTCCTTCAATAGTCAACCTTAATTTAATGGCGGTGTCTCCAGTGTCGAGGGGCAAGGAACAGAAGCCACCGCCCCAGGTCGGAGAATATTGGTTTGTCGTCAATGCCTGTAGTTGCTGGTGGGAAGTTTCAACGATTATATCTGCTACAGTCCGAGAACCTTCGTTTTCAAGCGAAGAGTGGACTAGGGACGTCATCAGTGGTTGTTTATAACACGTAGGTGAAGGAGTCGACACGAGGTGTAACTAAGGTGGGGGCAGTAGGGGGTGATATTGGTGGGCTGGAGGAGGGTTATAGCTGTTGTCTGAATGAGGTGGATAGAGAGAGGAAATCGCAATGGTGTTGACGATTGGCAGTTGGGTGAAGGTGGTTTTGATTTTGGGGCAAGGGGATGGGGTTTTTTATTTACCTTTTTGAATAATTTTTTTTTTTTAATATTAAAATTATAAAGTTACAATTTTACCCTTGCTACTTGATCAAAATTATTAGATTTTTAATTTTTGAAATCAAGTGACTGTTTTTGGGGTCAAATTAAAGGAAACCGTCAATTTGGACTTGAATTGTGAATTTTGTAAATGTTTGGTATTTATGGTGACACAAATGAAAGGTTGGAAAAAGTTTGTCACCTTGGCTGCAATTTCCCTAAATAAATTAAGTTGACCAAGATATTCTGTTTTGATTCGGCATCAAGCCTTCGTCATGTTTTGATATATAATTAATTTGGTTACTTTATTATTTAGATTCAATTGGTTTCGTGATGGATATTATAAATAAATTAACAGCCTGTTTGATTCTTATTGATTAGGTAAAAAGAGTTTTGAATAGTATTTTTAGGAGAACGTGTGATTAAAAAATAAGAAATTTTTTTTGATATATGTATAGAATATTTTATTGTGTGAATATATAATTAAAAATAATTATGTAAACAAGTTATAAAGTAAATTAATTTATGCCAAATAGGCACTAAGTTGATAAAGAAATTATGTATTGACCCAGCATCAAGTCTTCATCGTGTTTTGATATATAATAAATCAAAAATTCTTGAAGTACAAAAAATTTTTGCCAGATTTTTGAATTCTCACTCACATGAGAGTGGGCCCGTGTATAAAATATTGAAAAAAAAAAATTCCCACCTTTGAATGTAAGTGTTTGATAGGTACAATGATTTAAATCCTTGTACCTATAGCAAGGTTGATAATAAATTTGGTTACTTTATTATTTAGATCCAATTTGTTCCGTAACCTGGATATTACAAATAAATTAATAGCCTGTTTGATTCTTATTAAGCCCCCTGTTTGACCCCCATTATTTGAAAATGAAAATGGGGGGAATAATATTTTTTAGAAAAATGAGTGTTTAAAAAAGAAGGAAAAGTTTTCGATTTACGTATAATATTATTTTATGAAATATTGTGTGATTAAAAATAGGAGAAAGAAAAATGAAATCTAATGTAATTTAATTTAATGAGGAACAAACATGCGCTAATTAGGAAAAATGAATTTTGAATAGTGTTTTTAGGAGAACGTGTGGTTAAAAAGTAGGAAATTTTTTTGATATATGTGTATGATATTTTATTGTGTGAATATATGGTTAAAAATAATTATATAAACAAGTTATAAAACAAATTAATTTATGTCAAATGGGCACTAAGTTGATAAAGAAAATTCTGTATTGACTGACTCCGCATCAAGTCTTCGTCGTGTTTTGATATATAAAATAATAAATTTGGTTACTTTTTTTATTTTTATTTTTTATCGAGATCCAATTTATTCCGTGGCATGGTTATTATAAATAAATTAAGTTGACCATAAAATTCTGTATTGACTCCGCATCAAGTCTCCGTCGTGTTTTAATATAATAAATTTGGTTACTTTATCATCCAGAGTAACTTGAACAAATTGGATTCCCAATCTCCTCATTGACTTTGATTAGTAATTAAGGTCGGTTTGGTACTTATTTTTTTTTAAATTCATTTTTCTCTCTCTTCTTTTCAACCATACATTTTTATTAAAATAATATTATACGTAAATAAAAAAAATTTCTTATTTTTTTACCACACATTTTCCTATCAATTTATTATTCAAAAATGTATTTTTATATTAAAATGTCTCTCAAACGCCCTCTAAATTTTCAAAGATTCAACATGTGCTAAGATATACATTGCCGGTTCTGAGATTTTAGGAGGTTTTATATTAACTTCAAATATGAGACAATCTTAAAAAAATTATATTTAATAATAAATAAATAAAATTTAAAATTATAAAAATAATGATTTAAAACTTTCGAATGTCTAATTAAATGTACTATTGTAGATTTTTTTAATAGAAAATCAAGAATTATGCTATTAAAATAAATCTATTTTAGAACTTCATTTTCAATAGATACCATGATCAATTCATTCAACCTATCTTATGACATTTTTAATCAAATGTAGGATTTTATCAATTTCACTTTGAAAAGTTATTCTTGACATATGCAGTTGTAACTGGTATAGTCAATAATATTTTACAAGCAATTCACACATTTGAGAAATAACAATTCATCAGTTTAATATAATATAGCACTTCAATCATCTTTTTTTTGTTTATTTGACATAATTTCTCAAATTCGCGACTCAAAAAATAAATGTTGCCCGTAATATTAGAATTTTGATCATAAAAAATCTTCAAACTTATCACAACAACACTTTAAACAATTATCATCTACCGTCTTCAATTTTTTATTTTTAGAATCAAAAAATAATTCTAAAATATTGCATTTGAAATTTATTTTGCTTGTAGTTTTTTATGAATTATATACAATAAAAATTCTTGGGACCCTCATAAAAAAATGCAACTGGTAAACTTTTGAAGAAAAGATAATTCGACTTCCATGTGACAAATTTCGTTAAAACTATGAGCTTGTTCGATAGTGATTATAAAAATAATTTTTTTTATTGCTAGAGAGAAAAGTGAGTCACACTTGTGAGTGAAAAAGTAAAAAATGACAGTTGACTATTGAATGTAATGATCAAAAAATTGATTTTTTTGAGTAAAAAATCAGAACCAAACGGGAGCTACACGTCTATACATATAAATAAAATAATTTATATAATATTAAATGTGATGCGATTATATGAAATAATTCTGCTATGCTAACCTTCCTCGACAAATCCCTAAAAAGGGGGGCAAGAATTTTTTTGACTTTTTTTATTCATATGGATCCCACACGAGTATAGGTTAATAAAGGTTAAAAAATTTTTATAGCAAAGAAGTTTAATTCTATATGAAATGATCACCTTCATAATGAACATTTAAAAATAAAGTTACGTCATTTTACTAGAATTAGATTGCCATAATGAATTGGCAAAATTTGATTAGATGGTTGGAAAATATTTTTGACTCGACTACAAATGAAATGTTGTAGAGTGTTAATTTGACACAATTCTGATAAAATCAACCCGGTAATGAAGCATAACTCTTTAAAATATAAAATGCAGCCTGAAACTTAGCTTTATTTGGGTAGGTAAAATGGACTAAGAAATATTATCACAACGAGACAAAATTAGGGTAGGTATTTCTAATTAGACTATTATTAGATGCAAGAGGGTGCAACCATTATCAAAGAATCAAGAATAAAAAATAAAAATAAAAAAACTTGTTTTCTCATACACAATGCAGAAATTCAATCTGCTGATAATTTTGCAGAATGTGAAGCGATTTCATTTCACAAAATTATGTGTTTTCCATTGTTCAACACTCAGTCTTCAGGAGAGGCTAAGAACTGAGATTCCTGAAGAAAGTGAAAATATTTCTATCTTTAAGGTCCCTGGAAATCTTCGTCAAGTCGAAGCGAAAGCTTACGATCCTAATATTATCTCGATCGGGCCTTACCATCAGGGAAAAGCACATTTGCAGGCAATGGAAAAGGTTAAATGGCAGTTCTTTCGTCGGCTTTTTTGCCCTAGCAGCCAGGGGATTGAAGAGAAACTAGAAGGTGTGATTGAGGCCATGAAGGGATTAGAACCCGAGGCTCGAAGTTACTATTCAGAAGATGTAAAGATGAGCAGGAAGAAGTTTGTTGAGATGATGATCATTGATGGCTGCTTCGTTGTGGAGCTCTTCAGGGACCTGGAAAAGTCGGAAGGAAAATACGAGCCTGATGGAGAGAAAATCGAACTGGAAAAGAAACTGGCCCTGGAAAAATTGGAAGGAAAATACGAACCTGATGGACAGAAATTGGCCCTGGAAAGGTCGGAAGGAAAATACGAGCCTGATGGAGAGATATTGGAGATGGAAACGAAACTGGCACTGGAAAAGCCTGTATTTGCCCATGGACAGAGATTTCTGAAGAGATGGATGCTGCCAATTTTGCGAAATGATCTTATGATGCTCGAAAATCAGCTTCCTTTGCTGGTTTTGCGAGAATTATTCAGGTTAACGAATGGTATACAAGCAACATCTCCATGTTCTTCAATAGAGAAACTAGCTCTTAAGTTCTTCAGTCCACTGATGCCTGGAGCTGCTGAAAGTCCTCAACAAAGTGATTCAGACTACAGCAGAAATGATGCAAAACACTTTCTTGATCTCTTCCGGTCGAGCATTTTGCCAAAAGAGATTAAACGTGAAAAAGAACCGTATCTATTCCGTTCAATGGTTGAGCTCAAAGAGGCCGGGATTAAAATCAGGACAGGATCAGAAAACATAAGGCCTCTAGACATAAAATTCGAATCAGGAGTCTTGAAAATCCCTCCATTTCGAATCGATGACTACCGGTGCACTCTATATCGAAACCTGGTTGCTTTTGAACAATGCTACAAGGCTTGTCAACCAGACGTGACAAGGTACTATTCAACCACCTCGTCTAAAAGATTAAGCGGTTCGATAGTAAACACTTTTATTTACTTAATGTAGTCTTCAACAGGTACTTGTTTTTCCTTGACGGGCTTATCAATTCAGCTAAAGACATAGAACTTCTACATTATGCGGGTGTGCTGCAGCATTCTCTGGGTAGCAACAAACACGTGGCTCGAATCGTCAACAAGCTTTGCAGAGAAGTCTCCCGGGACATTGAGGACTCGTACTTGAGTGATGTTGTAAGAAGCCTCGAAGATTATTGTAATGAGCCGTGGCATAGATATAGAGCGAGTCTCGTCCATAACTATTTTACCAACTTGTGGGTGACAGTTTCGACTGGGATTGCTGCAATCCTCGTCTATTTTGCCGCGCTTCAGACATGTTGTGACTTAGCTGAAAGTCATGATTCATTACATGAATTTGGCTTTTGGACATTAGTTATTGAATCTTTCATTATTCCCTTTCCACAATCACTAATTGTAACCGGACTTGTTTCACAGTTTGATGAGTACCAGGAATTCATATGGCTTTATTGTTAAATGAATTGCTGTACAAAATGTCATCAAAGTGCTATTCTCATCTGCTTTAGTATCTGTTGAACTATTAAATCCGTTTGTTGTCAAAATGCATCAAGAGTTCAAATAAACTAGAAAGACTCCTATACCTTTACCGTGTATGTCGATACCTTCAACAATTATTTATTTTATAAATACCTTATTTCCGAGAATGCAGCAAGAATCTTGAAATGTTGAGACTTTTTAATTTCAAATCGGTTCCAAATTTCTTAAAATGCCATTACCATAAAATCAAACCAAACCTTTAAGTACATTGGAAGAGCCAAATTTGAACACTAAGATAAATAAGATTTTTTTACTTCGTTTTCTGGACCATCCAGTTGAGAATCAAAGACATATATGCGACTTGATTGAGGCCTTAACATAGTAGTATTTGCCAAGAAAATCGCATTAGCATAACCAAATGAAACCAAAAAAATGCTAAGGAAAATCTCTCTCTCTTTCGTTCACCGTAAACATGTTCTACTTTTAAGCGTCCCAAACAATCCCTTAGCCCACCATTGTCTAACCTTTTGTTCAGTCCCGCCAAATTCCTCATATTTATATATTCTAAATTCCAACGGTCGCCTAAACCCAGAACAGGGTCTTGACGTGAAAATGAAATTTAAGGATTACGATTCTTTGTTAAGAGAATGCATAAAGAGAAGGGCCTTGGGAGAAGGCCAAGGGGTGCATGCTCGCATGATTAGAACTTGTTATAACCCGCCAGAGTACCTTAGAACAAGGCTGATTGTGTTGTACGTAAAGTGTGAGGTTTTGGGCGATGCAGTAAGAGTGTTTGATGAAATGCCTGAAAGGAATGTGGTTTCATGGACCGCAGTTATCTCGGGGTTTGCGAGAAGTGGGGGTCACTCTGAAGCTCTCAATCTTTTTGTTCGGATGTTAAGATCAGGTAGTCATTTGGGAATGGTATGCAGAATGCTATTTATACAATATCCAAGTTCTTTGATATGAATAAGCTATGAAGATGCTGCACTTTTAGATTAATGATTTATTTTGTTAGCTGGAGCTCTGTAATTCAAGACCGGACGAGCTGAGAGTCCATCCGCTGATTAATTGGCGTGGAACTTGGGTATTGGATGTGCCCGTTGAATTATAAGTCAGGACTTAAAATTACTTGTTGAGAGGAATGATTTAAAAGATAAAAGTAATCTCTTAACAAATATGCCATATTATATAAAGGAATAACTAGACTGGTTACATAAGAGACTGATGAGTATTTTTCAAATCATAACTGGATAGCGTTAGTTCAGCTTTCCTTTTTCCTTTCAGTCATCAGTCTTCTCAGCTTAAAGTTGAAGGATGGGTTGAGGTAACTTTATATCATTCAAGGAAATGGATCATTTTGTCTTCCTTTTCATTTGTTCTTCATGACTCATTACCTTCTATGTTTTTTTAGTGGAGAAAACTGTTTCACTTCCTCAAGTTTCCAGATTTAGCAAGGAAGCCTTGTTAGTTGCTGTAACATGCAAATCCCCAATTCAGTTGGATAATTCATCTCATATTGGTTTATAGGTCGACGCTTATAATTTTTATAATCATTTGCTTCACGTTTGGAGCAAGGTTGAAGACCTCTTCCTCACTTAAGCATCCCCTTGAAAACCTGCAGATTCTCATAGAAAATATTCACATATTCATTTCAGTAAAAGCATGTTGAAATGACATTGCTTTATTTATTTAGACATTGCGACATTGCTTTATTTATTTAGACATTGCATGGTTTTCCTTTTCAAAGATTTTTTCATGTTGGATTTATAGGGGGCGTGTGAATTTGACACTAGTAGGTTGATTTGGTAAATAGTTGATTGAAGATTTATGCATCACAAGGTGGTTGGCCATGGCGTTGTCTGTTATGCACCATATGTAAATACTATTTCTACTGTTCGAAGAAGGTTTCACTCTTTCTTATGGTGTGATTGTAACATGGAATTGTTCCAGGTACCAATCCTAATGAGTTCACTTTTGCAACAGTGCTGACCTCTTGTACTGGTTTATTCGGGCTCCAGAATGGAAGGCAAATTCATTCCCTTCTAGTTAAAAGCCCATTTGAATCCCATATATATGTTGGTAGCTCACTTCTTGACATGTATGCCAAAGCTGGAAGAATCCATGAGGCCCGATATATATTTGATGGTTTACCCGAAAGAGATGTTGTTTCTTGCACAGCTATAATATCAGGCTATGCTCAGTTAGGACTTGACGAAGAGGCAGTCGAGGTGTTCCGTAGGTTGCAAAGGGAAGGAATGACTTCTAACTACGTCACTTATGCCAGTATATTAACTGCATTATCTGGGCTTGCTGCATTTGAACATGGACGGCAAGTTCACAGCCATGTTCTTCGATCAGAGCTTCCCCTCTATGTCGTACTTCAGAATTCTTTAATTGATATGTATGCAAAATGTGGAAACTTAATTTACTCAAGAAGAATCTTTGACAAAATGCCTGAAAGAACTGTCATCTCTTGGAATGCAATGATAGTGGGGTATAGTAAACATGGTATGGGAAAAGATGCAATTGACCTGTACGAAATGATAAGGGAAGAAAGTAATATCAAACCTAACAGAACCACCCTTTTGGCCGTATTGTCTGGTTGCGGCCATGGAGGAATGGAAAATAGAGGGCTGGAAATTTTTAACGATATGGCAATTGGTAAAGATGGGATTGACCTTGGTATTGAGCACTACGGCTGTGTTGTTGATTTACTTGGGCGTGCTGGCCAAGTAAGGAAGGCTTTTCAGTTCATCCAACAGATGCCTATCAAACCGAATGCTGCTATTTGGGGTTCCCTTTTAGGTGCTTGTCGGGTTCACCGGAATGTTGACATTGGAAGAATTGCTGGTGATCAGCTTCTTGAAATAGAGCCTGAAAATGCCGGGAATTATGTTGTTCTTTCCAATTTATACGGTTCTGCAGAAAGATGGGACGACGTAAGAAGATTAAGGGAATTGATGACAGAAAAATCCTTGACGAAGGAGCCAGGAAAGAGCTGGATTGAGCTCGGACGAACCCTGCATACCTTTTATTCAAGTCATCGATCACATCCAATGAAGGAAAAGGTATATGCAAAGGTAATAGATTTATCAAACCGGATAAAGGAAGCCGGTTATGCTCCTGATTTGAGTTGTGTTTTGTACGATGTGGACGACGAGCAAAAAGAGAAGATACTGCTCAGCCACAGTGAAAAACTCGCTTTGGCTTTTGGGATGATTGGTGTTTCCGAAGGAAAACCTATTAGAGTGATGAAAAACCTACGAGTATGTGTTGATTGTCATAACTTCGTCAAGTATGTATCTCAGATTTATAGCAGGGAAATTTTGCTAAGGGATAAAAGCAGATTTCATCATATTGTAAATGGTAGTTGTTCGTGTGGAGACTACTGGTAAACCTTCACGGTTTACTTTTCGATAGTGAATTTGCTGCCATTTCAACAACAAACTCCATTTCAATGTATTAATTGATTCGTTGCAATGTTAAGAATTAATTACTAGATGCATGTCATAAATTGAATGCTAGATCTTGAACTTTCTTGACATTTATACGGTGAACAAGAGTTAATTGTTTGAATGCTCACCGAACTTTGGGTAACATTTTGTTCCATTCACTGAACTTTCACTTGTATTCCATCACTCACTGAACTTTACACTGTTGCACTCAATTGCTCATCGTGTTACTCCGTCACTAACGCCTTCACACATGGACGACGGAATTCATGGTTGGCCGTTAAATGCCACCATGACAATTTAAAACACGACCAAATTTGGGGGGAAGAAAAAAGAAACACACGCTTTTTCATTATCAACTCAAATTTCTCCCGTAGTTCATCTCCTAACCTAAACCCCAAATCCATCTTCAGTAGAAAACCGACACCAAATCCTAAAAATACCGAGACAACCCTATGCCCTACATTAAAAATCAATCCATTCTGAAGGCGAAGCCGTCAACACAAAGCTTAGATTCGCAAAGAGCCAGTGTTGAAATCGTTGACATGGATGCAAGAAATAGAGGTCATTCGAATTTTTTTTCACTAGCGCATTGTCTATTTGAAGGTGAAAATGAGACCTTTTTACATCTATTAATTTACTTATTGGATTGTGGAGATCGAAAATCGAAATATGTTGGGGGAAGGAGGTTTACCAATTTTTTTGGAGTAAAAAGTGTTGCATATGCTTCCATGTATTGTTATGAGAAATTCGAAATTTGAGGTGCTCATTGTTTATGTTTCAGTAATCTAATAGTGCATTTAGTTTCCATAAGAATTGTCCAGTTTGTGGAAGTTGTGATTGGGATATGTTTTTCTCCGTGACCGTATCCAACAGCTTGCAATTAGACATTATACGGCTGAAAGTCACATGTGCATATTATTAGATTATCCATTTATGACATTATTGGTTGTGTAGGAAAGAATAAGGGGATTTGCCACAGTTGTAGACATTTGGGCTACCAACTGTGGGAATGCCCAAAAAAGCAACGATGTCGAAATTGTTCTTCAAGCTTTCTGCGACGGTTGGAAGTAGAAAAAAAAATGAAAATATAGGAAAGCTATTCCTTTGTTGTAGTAGTGATTGCGGGTTTTTCACGTGGATTAAGGTTTTGCCCGACATCAGGATATTATTACAAGATGAAAGAGAATCCAGTGGTGTGGAAAACGAACTTGGATCAAGATGCATTTGTATAGTTAAAACTGTCACCAGCCGCCAGTTTCTAAAAGAATCCACGTGTCTCGCACAGAAAATTCGGAGAAGAAAAAAATAAATAATATAATAAAAATATATTATTTTATTAATAAAATGATATAATTTAAAATATGATTTTACCAAAAATATAAATACCAACTGGGCCAAGCCCAAGCCCACGACTCCGACCCTGGCCTGTGCACGTGCTTGTGCCGAGCCGGCCGATCAGACGGACGGACGACGACGGCGTGCGCGTGTGGGCTTTAGCTGAACATACTAGTATGTAGGTCCTCTCCCCTCTAAAGACTAGTGGTATCCTTTGGGGTCCAAACCCAAGTCCTTAACTTGAGTTATATAAAGTGGTTTCTGTTCTTCTAATTTTCATATGTGGGAATGACACTTTCCAATTTCCCACCAATTTTTATTCCCAGTTTATTTCAACTTCAAGTGGTCTTTTTTTTTTTTTTTTTTTTTTTTTTTTTTTTTTTTTCGTAGGTTGTACGCCAGCCATACGTAGCTTGAACTGTGATGGCCACAATGCTTAGCTATTGCCGATCCCCAAGACGCCTTTGGTCACGGAGTAGAATGCACTTAGCCAAATAAATCATTTATCCAATTAACGGGACCCACTTAAATAATTGGTGAAAAGTTGGTCAAACCAACTAATTATTCCAAATTTTCAACAATCCCCCACATGAATGGAAATTAATGCAATAGATGATGCAGACCCTAACGAGAGATCAGGCGAAAAGTTATTGCATTTGGATGGGTACCTTATGGGTTTGAACCTTCCATAGTAGTATACTATCGGATTTATTTGGCTAATCAGTGAACATGATGTCTTGAACTGTCAGCCGTTATTGTAAATCAAGATAATAGCAGTAACACAATAACCACCCTAATATATTCGAGTTCTCACTGTCGTGTTCATTTTGACCTTGAACAACTCTTGGATTTCATAAGTGTTTTAGAGAATTCAAGCCCTTGAAACATTCTCATGGAAGCGGCCTCACTTCACACTTATATAGGTGATTTCTTATTAAGAGTACCTATTATACTCCACTTGGATAGTTCAAGATATAGGAATCATTAAAAACATATCTTAACTTAAGATTTTCTGTATATAGCACTTCTCTTATCATAGGAATGGGTAGGAGTAAACTCCGAAGTGCTTTTTGAATCTTCATAACTTAGTTGTCCCATTGAACCAAGATCTTGGGATCTCCAGTCAGCAAGATTGGATTATCATTACAAAGATCCTTACTTAGTAGGCTTTAAGCCCATTCCCCTTGATAGGCAGTATATTTGATCTCTTGGTAAACCTTTTGTGAGCGGATCCGCGAGATTTTCTCTAGATTTTACATAATCTATGGAAATGACACCATTCAAGACCAACTGCTTGATTGTATTATGTCTTCGACGGATATGTTGAGACTTACCATTATACATACTATTTTGTGCTCTACCGATAGCCGACTGACTATCACAATGTATACTAACTGCAGGCACAGGTTTAGGCCAACATGGAATATCCTCTAAAAAATTAATAAGTCATTCTGCTTCTTCTCCAGCTTTATCTAAAGTTATGAACTCTGATTCCATCGTAGATCGAGCTATACACGTTTGTTTAGATGATTTCCAAGATACGGCCGCACCATCGATGGTAAAGATATAACCACTAGTGGATTTTGAGTCTTCTGTATCTGATATCCAATTAACATCATTGTATCCTTCTAATACAGCTGGATATCTTGTATAATGCAATCCAACATTTGAGGTGTATCATAGATATCTAAGAACCCTTGTCAATGTCTTCCAATGGTCATTATTTGGATTACTTGTGAATCTACTAAGCTTGTTCACTGCATATGCTATATCCGAACAAGTGCAGTTGGTGATATACATCAGACTACCTATTATTCAAGAGTACTCCAACTGAGATACGAGCTCACCTTTATGTTTGGCCAAATGTAGACTTAAGTCTACTGGAGTTTTAACTGGACTTTCATCATATACATGAAATTTCTTAAGCACAGTCTCAATATAGTGAGATTGAGATAGAACGACTCCTTCGAATGTTTTAAGGATTTTAATTCCTAATATTACATCTGCAATACCCATACTTTCTTGTCAAAATGTTTTGTCAACATTTTCTTGGTAGTTATTATGATATCATGATTACTACTTATTATTAGCATGCCATCAATATAGAGGCATACAATTACATATGCACTGGGTGTGGTTTTAATATAAACACATTTATCACATTCGTTAATCTTAAAGTCATTTGACAACATAGTTTTATCAAATTTTTCATGCCATTGTTTTGGTGCTTGCTTTAGTCTGTATAGTGACTTAACGAGTCTACACACCTTAATCTCCTGCCCAGGAGCAGTGAACCTCTCAGGCTGTTCCATGTAAATTTCTACGTCTAGCTCTCCATTTAAGAAGGCTGTTTTGACGTCCATCTGATGGATCTCCATATTATGCAATGCTGCGATTGCAATTAATACTCTAATAGACGTTATTCTCGTTACTGGAGAGTATGTGTCGAAAAAATCAAGACTTTCCTTTTGTTTGAATCCTTTAGCTACCAATCTAGCCTTATATTTATCAATTAATCCATCAATCTTTAATTTTCTCTTGAAAATCCATTTACAATCTAACGGTTTGTTACCTGGTAGGAGATCTACCAGCTCCCATGTATGATTTTGCATAATTGAATCAATTTCACTATTGATAGACCTCTTTCCAGAATGGAGCTTCTGGACTTAACATAGCTTCATTGAATGTCCTAGGTTCATTTTCTAACGAATAAGTTAGAAAATCTGGACCAAAGGATGTAGCTGTTTTGGACCTTTTACTACGTCTTGGTTCTTCATCACTTTGATGATTACCAATTGTGGTATTATAAGCTCATTTTTGTGAACTAATCTCTTTCCTATCCTTAGAAGGAAAAATGTCCTCAAAAAATACACCATTCCTTGCTTCAATAATATTATTTTCATATATGTCTGGAATGTCAGACTTATGTATGAGGAATCGATACACACTACTATTATTGGTATATTTAATTAATAAGCAATCGATGGTTTTTGGCCTATTTTAACTTGTTTAGATTTTGGTACTTCCACCTTAGCCAAACATCCCCACACTTTCAAGTATTTGTATGAAAGTTTATGACCTTTCCATAATTTATAAGGAGTTTCATTCTTACCTTTGTATGGTAATTTATTTAGAATGTGGTTTACTGACAGGATTGTTTTCCTCCACAAGTTCTGAGGTAAACCAGAACTGATTAACATAGCGTTCATCATCTCTTTAAGAGTACGATTTTTGCGTTCAGTAATATCATTTGACTGAGGTGAATACAGTACTGTAGTTTGATGAAAAATCCCAGAAACTGAACAAAATTCTTCAAATGATTCCCCATATTCTCCACCTCTGTCACTACGAATAACTTTTATTCGTTTGCTAAGTTGATTTTCAACCTCATTCTTGTATTGTTTAAACGCTTCTAAGGCATCATCTTTGCTTCTTAACAAATATACATAACAGTACCTAGTGCAGTCATCTATAAAAGTAATAAGATACTTTTTTCCTCCTCTAGTTTGTATGAACTTTAAGTCACAGATATCACTATGAATGAGTTCTACAGGATTTGAGTTCCTTTCCACTGAATGAAACGGTTTTTTAGCTAATTTAGCCTCTACACAAGTTTCGTATCGATGATATTGATGAAATGAAATTGAAGGCAATAGATTTAAACTTGCTAATCTATGTAAAGTTTTAATATTAACATGTCCTAATCTATCATTCCATAAGTTAGAGGACTCAATCAA